AGGTTGAACAGAATTGGTTGCAAGCTGGAGTGCAAAGGAGGAGATGGTGATTAGCCGAAGTCACACAACAAGAAAGGTTATGAGAATACCCCAGAGGTAGATTAAATGTCATGTAGTGACAGTTAGCAAGATGAATACCAATTTGGAAATAAAACTAATTTACTCATAATTGAAAGTGGTGCAAATTGAAGAGTGAATAGTGAATAAAGATAGGAGTGTAACAATAATAACATTTTACTATTGCATTTTAATACAGTGCCTCATCACATCATCAAGATGTTTCAAAGCACTTCACAGGATATACTGTAAAGTTCCTCTCCCCCTTAAAACCGCTACCATCACTCCCCTCCTCAAAAAAATCCATCCTTGACCCATCCAACATAACAAATTAACATCCCATTTCCAAGTTGCCCTTCCTGGCCAAAACTCTGGAACGCATTGTCACTCACCAGCTTTGAACACACCTCTCTCTCCACTTGCTCCTTGAGCCCCTCCAGTTTGATTTCCACCCTGCCCACAGCACAGAAACGTCACTTGTCAAGGTCAAAACGATGTTCTCTCTATTGTGACCAAGGCTCCCTCTGAATTTTCGTCCTCCTGGACCTCTGACACCTTCCTCATCCACCATCTCTCCTCCCTCACTTATCTTAGTGGGACCCCACCAGCCTGGTCAAAGTCCTACCTAGAAACCACCTTCACTTTGTCTCTTCAAACAGTTTCTCCTCTCAACCCCGCCTGGTCATCTGTGACGTACCTCACGGCTCCCTCCTTGACTCCCTCCTCTTTCTCATCTATATGTTCCATCTTGGCGATGTCATCTCTAACCTCCCATTCCTCTCCAAGGTCCTGGAATGAGTCGTCGCGTCCCAGCTTACCATTCCCTCTTTGAACCCCTCCAATCCGGCTTCCGCACTGCCCACAACACGGAAACAGCCTTGGTCAAAGTCACTAATGACATTCTGAACATCTGTGATCAGGCTCCCTCTGCCTCCTTGTCCTCCTCAACCTCTCTGCCACCTGTTGACCACTCCATCCTCATTCACCTCTCCTCCTTACTTAATCTTCACGGACTTGCCCTTGCCTGGTTCGATTCCTATCTCTCCCACTGTCTCCACTTTATTGCCTCTAATGGTTTCTCCTCCAGCCCCCGCACTGTCACATCTGGTGTCCCCTGGGGCTCTGTCCTTGGCCTCTCCTCTTTAATATCTACACGCTCCCCCTTGGTGACATCATCCACAGACATGGGATCAACTTCCATATGTATGCGGATGACACCCAACTCTATCTTTCTGCCTCCACCCTCGATTCCAGGACCACTGCTATCCTGACAGACTGCCTGTCGGACATCAATAATAATAATAATAATAATAATAAGTCCTAATCTAGTCCTGGATGAGGGCAAACTTCCTACAGTTGAATATGAACAAGACTGAGGCACTCCTGATTGGCTCGCACTAGCGCCTCAGCACCTCAGGCTCTGGCAACATCAACCTCCATGGTTGCGCACTTCAACTCACCAAGCCAGTCAGGAACCTAAGTGTCTTGTTTGACCCTCAACTGTCTTCCCCACATCCAAGCCATGACCTGCTCTGCCTTCCCTCACTTCCGTAACATTGCCCGACTCCGCCACTATCTCACCCCTCAGGCCACTGAAACTCTTGTTCATGCTTTCATCACCTCCAGGCTCGACTACGCAAGCGTCCCCTGCTTGTCGGCCTTCCCAACTCCTCCCTCCACAGGCTGCAGATAATCCAGAACTTTGCAGCTCGTGTCCTCTTCCGCACCTAACTCCATCTCCCCCACTCTCGCCCAACTCCACTGGCTCCCTATCCTTCAGAGGATCCAGTTCAAGATCCTGGTCCTCACCTACAAAGCCCTCAATGATCTCGCTCCACCCTACTTCTTTGACCTCCTAACCTTCTACCAACCCGCCTGCTCCATCCGCTCAACCGGCTCTGGCCTGCTCCACGTCCTCCGACCCACCCGCCCCACCATTGGCGGGAGAACCTTCAGCCACTCTGCCCCCAATCTCTGGAGCTCCATCCCCCAATCACTCCGCCTCACCCCCTCCTTAGCCTCCTTCAAGTCCCGCCTCAAAACCCTCCTCTTCGACCATTCCATTAGTCACCCTCCCCTCCCTTCTCCCCCCTGATCCCAGCTCAGGTCTGAATTGCTGTACACTGTCCAGCGCCTTGGGACGTCCTCCCGATGTGAAAGGCGCTATACAAATGTAATCTTGTTGTTTTTATTGTTGTCATCCACAGACATGGGGTAAACTTCCACAAATCTGTTGGATTGTCTAGCAGACACCAGGTCCTGGATCAGCACTAACATCTTACAACTAAATGTTGTACGCTATACTCCTTGGCTCTCTTCATCGTCTTCTATCCTATGGCTCTGAACTCCTCGTAGTCTCACTGGGCTATCCCTCAGACTCACCGAACTGGTGTGCAACCAAGACATCAGTTTTGACCCACAACCGGTCCATGATCAGGACTGCCTTCCTCCGCCTCCGCCACATTGCCTGCCTCTGACCGTACCTTATCCCACATGCAGCCAAAACACTCATCCATGCGTTCGTCACCTCCCAACTCGACATTTCAATGCCCTCTTGTCTCCCCAGCTCCACACACAGGATCCAGCTGATCCAAAACTCCGCCACCCGCATATTCACCTGCACGAAACTCCGCACCCCCATCAAACCAGTCTTAGCCAGGCTCAACTGGCTCCCTGTCACTGAGGGGATCGATTACAATATCCTCACTTTCTTTTCAAATCCCTTCATGCCCTGGCACCTCCCTACCTCTGCGACATACTTAACCCACAACCCACTGCCTCAGGTCGACTGGCTCCAGCATTCTGGCTGTCCCTTGGGCCCTCCATTCCACTATTGGTGGCTGTGCTTTCAGCCACTGTGCTCCAAAATTCTGGAACACTTTTCCTCTATCCCTCTGCCTTGTCCCTTCCTTCCCAATCTTCAGTTCATGCCTGAAGACTTTCTGCTTCGACTGTGCCTACAGTACCTCCTCCTCCCTCTGGCTCAGTGTTATGCTCCGTCACTGTCAAGCACTCTGGGATGCTACCCTGCATGAGGGACGCTATACAAAAGCAAGTTGTTGTTGTTATGTGTTGTGACTATGTATTTTGTGGACAATCATATCAAAACAACCTGCTTATTTGCCATTCAAGAGTGTTCCCACAGTGTTAATTTGGTATTGTAGATGCAGACAGTATGGTCCCTCTTCCAATCCATAGATAATACATAACGTAAACATCATACATGGAAATATGTACATTGTACACTAGTAGGATATGACTCGCTGAGCAGCTTGCGTAGCACTCAGTGACTAGTTCTAGTGTATAATATATTCTTCATACCAATCTACATCAAGCACTAAGGCACATGGTATCTTATTATACTGCAAAAGTGAATAAAATATTTTGCCTGAATAAGAGTTTACCTCATATTCAAAAATAGCCATGCCTCGAGAATATTATCTCCCATAGGCCTGAAACTCTGACAGAATGCCATTCTTTGCAGTGACCTTTAGGAATGAATTAGGATATTTGATTGATCTTGTGTTGCCTATGTTGGGAATTGATTAGTAGATCAGTAATCAAAAACAGTTTTGCTCAAAGCTAATTTGTTCCTTAAAGGTCACATTTCTTTTGAACATCAAATGTAATTTTTCATAGATCTGGCAATTAAAGTTGAACTACTTGTGCATGACGAACTTGCTTCTGAAGGTAAATTGCTCCCTTTTGCCCTCAGATTCCATATAACTATTGATTCGCATAAATTTAATATTTAATCTAAACTACTATTGACAAATATTCATGGTGAGCATTTTAATCTGCTTGAGGTTAAAGGCCACAACCTTTTAACATCCAAAATATTGAGTAATAAATAGCTTAACTGATGTGTTGAGAAAACAGACATTGGTATTTGACGGAGTTCTTAAAACGTCCTTGAAATTTTTTATGCTCAGATGTGGCTGAACAATAATGAAGAGAGTAAAGTTACAAAATAGTTTCCCTGCAAGCTTTGTTACTAAATTTTCTTTTTATCCCACTTTCTACCCTGGAACTTAAATCTTTTAATTTCATTTTCAGTGTGTTTTGTGTTTCAATTCATCATGTTTGTTTTTAATTTTACCCAACAATGCATTTGATCTAAACACAGAGAAAGGAGCAAACTAAGCCTACTCATCCAGAGCATTAGCATTGCAGTGATGGCCATTACTACCAGGCTGCATTACTAATCTACTTTTTTGGTAAATCAAATTCTCTACTTTCAATATGGTTGCATTTACTTTCTCAATGTAATGTCAGTGGTTGAGTACTGAAAGGATCCTAGCCTCAACTGTCCAGCACCAGTGGAACGTCCTCTTCGAAGAAAAAGGTGCTATATAAATGCAATTTGTTATTGTTCTGAAATGTTGTACACTGTCCAGCGCCTTGGGACGTCCTCCCGACATGAAAGGCGCTATACAAATGTAATCTCGTTATTGTTGTTGTTCTGTCTACTATCACTACTGTGTTAAAAAAGCAGGAGGAAAACAATAATGAATCAGAGAGAGAGAGAGGGAGATAAAAAGAGAACCTAGCACAGTGGGGCATTACAGTGATAGTATAACCTGTTGGTCAGCAATGTAGCCAATTTGTATCTTGTAATGATAACAGATTATCCGCACATTTTCCTTGACCACAATCTGTCTGTCAATCTGAAGAATTATTTTCTGATAATACATTTTTGGAATAATTCCATGCCATTATTTTCTATAAGAATTATTTAACATTATAGAATCAAACTCATTTTGATTAATTTCTACTTGAGTAGTGTGGAACTATATCCAGATCTGAAGACTTTATGTGGCATACCCCTCATCTGTTTGATGAGCTTTAAGTTCTGCTTTATGAGCATGTTAAAAGAATACAGATTCCAATTAATACAGAGATTGTAAGTAAAATTCTGAGAATAATTTACGTTTTTTCCATAGGAACATATTGTGGAGGTGATCAGGAATCAGGAGTTTCTGCTGTTACCTGCAGATGATATCCTTAAACTTCTTGCTAGTGATGATCTGAATGTTCCTGAAGAAGAGACAATATTCCATGCCCTGATGATGTGGGTAAAATATGATATGCAGAAAAGATGCAGTGACCTCAGTAAGCTTCTGTCCTACATCAGATTGCCTTTGCTTCCACCACAGGTAAATAAGACATTAAGAAAAAGCTATCAAATATTTATATTTTACCCGAGTTCTCTCTTTTCTAATTTCTCTAATGCTACCTTCCACCATCATATTTTTCTTCAGATAAAATGGAATGACAGTTTGGGCCATTCTGTGGTGAACTCACAGAATTTTTTTTAAGGAATGAGACTAATGTACCAATTTTTCCCACTCCAAGATAATAATAATAATAATAATCCTTGCATTTGATATAGCGCTTTTCACGTCGGGAGGACGTCCCAAAGCGCTTCACAGAACACACTGTAAAGTGAATTGACTGTATATTTGTGGGCGAACGCGGCAGCCAATTGCGCACAGCAATGTTCCACAAACAGTCGTAGATTGAATATGACCAATTTATTATTGGTTTTGGAGGGATTATTATTCATTCAAGACTGGATATTATGCCATGTGTCCTACACGTGAAGGGATTCCACACTTTCATAAACTCAAACTTATCACAATGTAATATAGTATCCACATTGACCATGTTTAATGTATGAATGAAAACACATCTAACTACATCAAACATTTGCTATAGAGATCAGACTCAAATCCATCTAGCATCGAGTTTCTCCTGATCAGGTCATCCACATAATAGCGAACTTCACTCATTGCAGTCTTCTATATCTTTGCTAGTGAAGGTACACTCTGATGTCAAATCATCTAAATTGATCTGGGAAAACATCAATATGAAATTTTAATAATCTGGATAACATACAAATCTATCTCTTTTGGAGTCTGCAATGTTGAACAGATTCATAGAAAAATAATTTGCCTTTTCTAAATACAGGCATTTTTTTCCCAATGATTTCTCTATACCCTGCAGAAATAAATAATAATATAACATCCAGTCTTCACAGTTCTTGTTTATTGATTCCAAAACCTGTTGCATTTCCTTAGTGCTTCAGGTACAAGCATTGCAATTGAATACCATGACTGGGTATGTTTTCTAACTGAGAACAGGACCTCACTATATACGTCAAAGACCCATTTGCAGATTACACTTGGTGGATTCATAAGTAATTCTGGGATACGATCCTCACCCCATCAACCTTGAGTCTCACCCATTCAACAATCAGCTGTTCTGACCATTCCATCAGCAGAAATATCCACTTACAGTGGTACCAACATATTTTCTATATCACAAGGTGACTATACGGTTCTTCTACTGATTGATCTTCTCATCTCTCTCTCTACCAGGACTGTATTGGATATTAAAGATGGGATTTTAATCAATTAGCTTTACCTTTTCTTGCTGGGCAGAATACCTGAATTGATGCTGACACAATACAACTCATAACACGGTGGTGGAATTGATAATGCTTTTTCCCTAAATGGGGTCTAATTTCAAAATCACAGTGTCACAAATTTTGGATTAAGCAGGCGATCTATATTGATGGATTTTGAACCTCAGTAGCCATTTCAGTGCATAGATAATGCAGAAAATAAATGATTTCTAATGCATTAACCATAGGCACTAGCAAGTCAGTATGAGTGTTTTTCCTGCACTGAATATCTGACTGTATAATGTAAGGATCCAGTATGGAATGTTCTGGACCTCAAAAAGCTTGACATCAACAGTATCTATACCCAATAAAAAAGTGACAGCGAATGTGGGACATGGTAACATTCTGGCAATCTGGCATCTGGTTCAATACTTTTTGTTAGTTCCTTCGGACAACCTATAAGAAGCCAACTGGGGAGCGCTGATACTGAAATGTTATAATCTTATTGATTTTCTGGGAACTGGTTTCTTAGTGTACCCGGTATACAATCCTTCAGGCAGGTGGCCACAATTAATGCCTTTTCAGGTCTGTCAACAATATATGGTGGGTGGTATGAATCATTTCTGATATCTTATTTATTTTGTTTGTCAAAATGTTTAATAAAACCACCAAAATAATAATAATAATCATCCTTGCATTTGATATAGCACTTTATCACATATTCGAGATGTCTCAAAGCGCTTCACAGAATAAGTAAGGTGAATTGACTGTATATATATTTTTTGTGGGCGAAACACTGCAGTCAATTACGCACAGCAATGTTCCAGAAACAATGGTGGATTGAGTAATCAAATTATTATTTTTAAAATTTTATTTTTGAAGGGATTATTACCCCTGGAAAAGTGATCCGCCAATCGACTAATAACCGGGTTCCTACATACTGCTAGGTAAACAGAGGCGTGTGGAGTAAGGAAACTTGCCCAATGTTTTGCCTTGCCGGGAATCAAACCCAGGTTCTCTCTCATTTGTGAAGCGAGTGTTCTAACCAATACGCTACAGGACTCCACGATCCAATAAGTAGTCTATACAAAGTATGAATGCAAATATCTGAATTTTAATTTTACCAAAGGCAAAGGTGGTACAGATTGCTAGTTTTTAAGTACGTCATCGGATCTTGGGATTGCTCAACAGTTCTCCATGGAGCAAGAGACCATTCTCACTCAGAGCCTCTGGGGATACAATAAGTATTGGTGAGGCATTTCTCAAGAAAAAAACATGGGAAATATGAGGGGTACAACAACAACTTGAACTTATATAGCGCCCTCCACGAAAGGTAGCGTCTCAGAGCGCTTAACAGTGAGGGAGCCTGACTCCGAGCTGGGGTGGGGGCCAGGTGGCTGTCAACAAGGGTAATTAATCATTCTTATCTCATACACCTGTCAGCAAGTAGCTCACGAGAAGCTTCAAAACAGGTCACTGCCTACCTTCTTAGTCACAGAAAATGGAATTCATCTATGAAACTCAGTTTTTCTTTTATTAACTTGGCCAATTTAAATCTCTGGAATTCAATCTCTGGAACTCCATCTTGGAATCCCTCCAACTCATCCCCTGCTTCCCCACTTTTATAGCCTACCTTAAAACTTACCTATTCAGCCACACTTTTGTTCATCTTTCCCCCACCCTTCTTCTGCGAGCCCCTTCCCCCCCATGCCGCTCCAATGCCCAGCCAGCTGTGTAAATCATCCTCCTGACGTGAAAGGCTTTTTCAAATATGTATTGTATTATATGTAAAAAATATGTAAAAAATCAGATATTTCAATGTTTGTTCCCTAATCATCATTCAATATTGTTTAATTTACAAAAGATTGTGTAAAAATATCATTAGGATAGAAACTCTTTTTTTCAAGCCCTGCTTTGGCACTTTGAACTCACATAGTCTCAGCTGAGAATCCAATCAGTGCTGGAGGAGCATTGCCTTGTTGGCGGTTATTCTTTGGATGAGATGTTAAACTGAGATCCTGTTTGCCTGTTCAGGTATATGCTAAAAAAAAAAGTTGCATTACTAGAAAAGGGAGTTACTCAAAAATATAGCCAACAATCTCGCAAATAAAATTGATCATTCACTTCATGACTGTTTCTGGCACATTGCTGTGCATAAATTGGCTGTCCTATCACCTTGATGATGAAAGGGCGAAACCTTGGACAGGCTTCCTTACTCCACACTCCTAATAATAAATCCCTCCAAAATAAAACAATAATAAATTGGTCATTTTCAATCCACGACTGTTTGGGGACACTGCTGTGTGCGGTTGGCTACTGAGTTTCGCCCACAAATATATGGTCAATTCACTTCACAGCATGTTCTGTGAAGTGCTTTGAGACGTTTTGAAGACGTGAAAAGCGCTATCTCAAATGCAAAGATTATTATTATTATCCCAGTGAGACATCCTCCTAAAGTGAAAGAACCTACATCAAATGCAAGGTTTATTATTTATTATCAGTTTAATGTGTCCAATTATCTTTTTAATTTTCCCCCAATGACGTATTCCTGTTTGCCCATGGTCTGACCTTCTCTTGGTTGGGTGTGGTTTCATGGGTGCTGATTCCCTCTGGTAGCCTATCCCAAGTGGTTGCATTGCTTATGTGTGAGTATTGACAATGACAAGCCACTTGCTTGTGGAACACAGAGCTCTACCCACCCAGCTGCCACACATGTGTACAACTAGTAGAGGGTGCAGTACAGGGACCATGGATGTTTTTACTCTTCTCTAACTCTGGGAAGTCAGGAGCCAATTTAGTCTCCCCTTATAGCCAAGAAAACTCAGTACGGTAGGTAAGCTCCAGGTCTATAAGTTGCAGCTCTCTTCATAACACTATTGAATGTGTCCCCTAAAAATACTTTCTTATTTTGCGTATTAATTCTTAATTATGTAGGATTATTATTATTATTATAGTGTAACATAGAAACAGGAATAGGCCATTCAGCCCATCGAGCCTTTTCTGCCATTCTATAAGATCATGGCTGATCAGTACCTCAACTCCAATTACCTGCCCTTGCCCAATATGCGTTAATACCTAACACATATCTATCCACCTAAGTCTTTTGGGGGAGAGAGTTCCTGATTTCCACTATCCTTTGGGTGAAAAACTGCCTCCTGATTTCACTCCTAAATGGCGAGCTCTAATTGTAAGATTATGCCCCTTGTTCTGGATTCCTCCATCAGAGGAAATAGTTTCTCTGTATCTACCCTATCGAATCCATTTATTATTTTAAAAACCTCAATCAGATCACCCCTCAACCTTCTAAACTCGAGGGAATAGAGACCAGGTTAATCAACCTGTCCTTATAATTTAACCTTTTAAACCCTGGGTATCATTCCGGTAAATTTGTGCTGCACCCTCTCCAGAACCAATATATCCTTCCTGAGCTGCAGTGCCCAAAACTGAATGCAGTACTCCAGATGGGGTCTGACTATGGATCCAAAAATACCAAAAATACCAAAACAGAATATTTTCTAAATGCTGAGAAACTAAGAACTATGGGGGAGCAAAGGGATTTAGGTGTGCTCAAGTACACAAATCACTAAAAACAAGCTCACATGTACAAAAATGTCATCAAAAACTAATGGGATGTTGGCCTTTATCTCAAGGGGGCTGGAATATAAAGGAGAGGAAATGATGCTTCAACTGGCTGGACAAGCAGCTGGAAAGCCTGCCGCATAGCAAAATGAATGGCAAGCTTTGGTTAGACTCCAGCAGCACCCCAACACACACTCTGGGGTTCCCAATCCTTGATTCTTGCCGACCTGCGCCTAATACTTTCTAGAATTAGGTAAGCAGGATGCGTCCCTCCAAGGAGAGAGAGTGTTCCATTCCAACAATCTCTATCTCTGGGATTTTCATGTCTAGGTGGGATGCATGGAATTCTTAGCTTGGTTTGGATACTCTTAAGCATGGTGATGGGTTTGCGCATGTGTCAGACACCCTGCTGACCAAATTGTTTNAAAAAAATCCAAACTCTCAGTCACTCTGTCCCTGATGAGAGATTCTATTAACTTCCGCGCAACAAAAGTTAAGATAACAGGTCTGTAGTTATCTAATTGCACCCTCACTCCTTTCTTAAATAATGGAGTGATATTTGCTAGTTGGTGAGCTGTGAAGATATTGATCCTTTTCTGAGAAAAATGGATTTTACATGGCAGAAATTGTGAGTTCCATCAGTTATATCATTAACAGACCTATACAGTGATTGTCTTATCACCTATTAGTTACATTGCATAAAATAACATTTATAATGCTTACTGGCCTGACAGCAGGCTTTCTTTTTGCCTCTATTCTGAATTATGCATGAATTGCCGTTGTTTCTTCAATAAATAACCTACACGTCCTTGGCACTTTTAAAGCGCCATCAGACAAAAAAGGAAGGTTTTCATTAAAGCTTTCAAATTGACTGAAGATGGAAAGCATTCCAATGACAGATATATATGCCCATTACTTACCTATTGACAAAAAGGAACATTTACGGTATAAGATGAAAAAATAGCAGATAAAACAGAAGCACTTATTAAAAATGAATAAATAGGACACTTCAAGTGGTATAATGGAAAATAGATGTATACACCTGAGATAACCCTTGTTCACGGTTAATGGAATTGTGCTTAAAATAAATCTTTAAATAACTTTTGCATCAACCACGCTGAATACATTCAATTTCAATGCTTATTAAGAATGCTTCTTTTCATTCTCACTAAAATAATAATTTGTCAGTCCAAAAGAGTCATTAAGGATGCGCACAGACCTTGCAATAAAATCTTAACTAATCCGTATCAAGGTCAGAGGATTAAGCAGGATTTTTAACAATTGGATTTCGGTTCATTAATTTACAAAGCCCAAACTTTTCAACATTAATGTCTTATGAGATTTCATTAGCAATGACAGCAAATCACAGGAGTTATTGGCAATCATGAAATTAGAAAGAAAACACAGTTGGCAACTGGCTGATAAAAAATTTGGATCACTATGTTGTCACAATCACTGCAACCCAGTGATACACAGGTGCTTAGTTTAACATCACTCCCTATTGATATGATATGATATAATATTAGTATTATATTGCAGAATCTCTAGTAATGGTTTTATTAAGATGTAGTTAATTATTTTCATTCAAAGTAACCAAAAATGGAACTTTTTTTCTCAATTCCCAGCAATATCTGAAGCTGCTTTTACAGAATATTGGATTCAAAGAGGTATCCTATGTTTAGTTGATGAAATCTACTGTTCTCCATGACCAGGAACACAGAAATATTTGGGGCAGAAATAGTGAACTGCTAGTTATCAGGATACCAGCTTTACTGTTACTCAACTTAGGTACACACTTCCAGGAACTTTTGGGTTTGTTAATTATCATAGGGTTGCTTAAATTACTGGTGATAGTGCATAGGTGTCAGTTAACATATCACACTTTAAAAATGTTACATATATATAAGCGTCCTGATACACTATCCCAAGTGAAGAGTGCTAATATAGATGCAAGTTGTGGTTAATTTGTTTTATTTACCTTCTGAAATGTATTTATTCTTGGCTCAAATGGCAAATTTACCGGAATTAAATATTATTACATTACAGAGATTAATATAAATGACATTTATAAACAGAAAATAACAAATATTAATGCACTAAGCATCATTGCCTAGTTTCTATGGCAGCAGATATTAATCTGAATTAGACTCAATTTATACGATCAAGCAGGTTTATGACTGACATACAAAACAACCCATAGGATGATGGACACCCTTATGGAGCAGTGAGTTCATGAGGAGCAGAATGAGTGCCTTTCATCATAATATTCACATTCAGGTAGAATACAGGACATCTTTTTTAATATGAGTTATTAATATTTATATTTTAAGATCCAGGTGTTGCTTTAATTAACTTGCTCCTAAATAGCCTTTCCTTCTGCCACTTCTGAGGTCAATGTTACTCAAAGAACACTGTGCCTTTAATTTGTCACCACATGTACGATGAAATTACCACAAACTACAGACAGTTTACTTTTTCTTAACTACATTTCTGCTCGTGGCAAGGATCTTGGGAGTAATACTAAAGAAAAGGATACAAATGTTAATGTACAGTACTGACAGAAAAGCAGACAAGTAGTCTCATTGTTGGAAGTGGTTTTGGATTGTCATGGTTTAGGTTGAATACATAGCCTGCTCCATGGTTTGTGTCACTTTGGTAATGGGTAACATGGGAATGTTGTAAAATCATCACTATTCCTGCTGTTTGTAACAGGTCCGTTTTTTAAAAAAAACATGAATAGCAGCACGATTGTGCAATTCGGTTCTCTACAGCTACAGCTTCCAGATACCTCTTCCAGTAGTGCAAATCATATTTGATGCCAATTTTTAAAAACCTCCTTAGGGATCAGTTCTATCCCGTATGTATTAATATACTACAGCATTGTTTGGTACCATCTGGATCGTCCCAAAATAACACTGAAATAGATGTAATTCAGGCCCTTGAATGCTAACAAATGAGGTTTAAAGTACAAGCACATACAATTAAGCTCATTAACTGCATCTTCATGATGTGGCTATCATTTTTTTCTCTCAAAACAATTTTATAATTGCTTTAGCTTGATAAATTGTAAAAGCCACCTGGACACCACACTGAAACATGCTTGTCAATGGCACGTTCTCTCTTAGCAGCAGCAGATCACTTCTCTGCTGTTTGAGTTTTATGCCACAATGGTGTTGGTGTTTGTGCAATGTAGTCTAATGTGTCAATATCATTTCGTTAGAAAATCCGAGCAGGATCTCCCTGGGTAACTCTTAGCATGTCACGCTGACCAGTGGAAACTCTGTTCTGAAAGTAGATGATATAAGTTCCAATACAATGCAGCAATGTACTTTTAAAATGAAGGAACTTGTTTGAAATTGCAGCACATGAGACTCGACTGTTGATCAATGCAGGTTCTATGCTGCAGTGAGACTAAAATTCTCCTGTGTGTCTTCACATAAATAATACACACTGTTAGAAATTTGAAAATATTACATTACCTTTCACTCTTCCTACATTTAACATTTTTTTAAAAAAATGCTTGATGGTTGCGATGAGCAATAAGAAAGCAAATATGTATTCTGTCATAAATGTTAATTGCGATAGGTAATTATGGCTTTGATATAATCTTTTTTATAGGTAACTACAGTTATTGGCATTATCTTCTTAATAAAACTGCCATAATAATTATGCACTACTCTATTGATATCTGCTACTGATAAATGACACCGACTGAATCACAATGTTTTGGTATTTATTTTAGGAAGGTAATGGTTAATATTACAGTATTAACTCTATTCTGATGTTTGAGTGGCTTATTGTTGTAAGTAATAGTTTTTCAGCATCACAGTGCACAAGTTAAAAATGTACAAACAAATTGCCCTCGCAAAAACAGGAGATTCTCTGGCAAGATCAGCAGAAATTTTTGCTTTACAATAATGTGGATCCACATTGTTGGATAATTGAAATAAACAACAACAACTTACACTAATATAGTTCCCTTCACGCCGGGTAACGTCTCAGAGTGCTTAACAGTGGCGGAGCCTGACTCGGAGCCGGAGGGTTGGGGGGAGGTTGTCATGAGCACGGTCGTAGAGGAACGTTTTCAGGCAGAACTTGAAAGAGGGGAGAGGAGGGGCAAGGCGGAGGGGTTGACCAGGATCTATTGATGTAAACACTGACCAGGATCTATTGTTAACCTCCAGAGAGAGGTAGTTCTCAAATGTGGACTTCTCCAATTTATTAGCATGCTACATCATATCATTTATCTGAATATATTGGTACTTCATATAGTGGTACTTTTTAACCTCTATAATTTTAAGCTTGCTTTGCTAAACAGGCTATTTAAGTGAGAAAAATATATTTTGTGAAACGATATTTTGGAAGACATGGGGCTTAGTTTTATCAAATAAGGCACACCTTATTTCCTCATTATTTCCAAAGTACATACAACTTCTTATGGGGGCTATAATATTTCTTAATCTATTCTATCAGTCTAGTTGACAAATAAAATATATTAAATTCCATGCAACTAATTGCTTGGTATACACCATGCTTAGTTGTTATAATCTATCATGAACAATATTTTCTGTGTGTCTAAAGCCTATTAAAATTCTGTTCACAAGAGCTGATCTCCTCAATAGTGCAGTTATAATGATATGTGTTACCAATTAATTTTTGGACTTAAGAAACCTAGTTAGTGCACATTATATCAAACAAAATATGCTGCAGAGAAAGTTACATGACTGTAATTCATTCTTGCTGACATTCATAAACCAATTTTAACTGTTCTATTGGTTTACGATTTCATCAGAACTGCTGAATTGAATTACAGCCTCTGTCTCCTGACATAGCCCCCACTATGCCATATACATTTTATGAACAGAAATTGGCAAGTGTGGAAATCACACATTTATTTGAATATTTTATTTTTTATAGCTCTTGGCAGACCTTGAGAATAATGCTCTTTTCAAGGATGACCTGGAATGTCAAAAACTCATTCTTGAAGCCATGAAGTACCATCTGTTACCAGAGAGACGACCTTTGATGCAAAGTCCAAGGACTAAGCCTAGAAAGTCCACTGTTGGAGCTCTGTATGCAGTTGGAGGGATGGATGCTAATAAAGGTAGGGATATTTCCCAAATCTCAGAACTATGATTTTATGTAGTCAAACTTAATGTCTTAAATGAAGTTCAGAGGAGAAGATGAAAGGAATTAATATCTTAAGTGTAGTTCAGAGGGGAACTTGAAAGCAAAATCTGTGAATATAATACCCAGTTCTAGCTCCAATCCCCAGTGCAACTGTCTGCAATATTGCAAATAAAAAATTCAGAATTCTGTTTGGAATAAAACAATAGATGATGGGCTGAATGGCCTTCTGTGTGTAAATTTTCAATACATTTTAAGAAGGAACCATACCTGTGGAAGCAAACCAAACTATTCAAAATACATTCCCTTCAAAAGGTTCCCCATCAGGATTCAAACATGTGAAGAAGAATATAACACCTGAAAACTGAGTATGTATCATGTTAACTTCCAAGGAATGATCAAAACAGTTGAGGAAGATATGTTCCACTGTAATCTCTATGAGTATTTCTGCCTCGAAATATCAATGTTTTCTGAAACTCACATGCCTCTTCCAAATGCCTTATATGCTAAAATTGCTGACCTAAATTAACAGACAAGGTTTGACTGGATCGGGCAAGAAGGCCCTGATAAGCACCAGGAACCTTATAGCTGCGCAAATAACACAGAACACTCACCTCTCTAACGTTTACTGCTAATACTATACATTAGATTACATTAGAATATACAGCACAGAAACAGGCCATTCAGCCCAAATGGCTTATGCCAGTGTTTATGCTCCACATAAGCCTCCTCCTGCCCTTCCTCAACTAAGCCTTCGAGCATAACCTTCTTTTCCTTTCTCCCTCATGTACCTATCTAGCTTTCCCTTAAATACTGGGTGACATAAACAGAAAAAGAAGGTTGTTAATCTTTCTCCACTGCACACATTCTCTATTTCTCCATCACCCAGTCTTACAAATGTGGTGAACTATCTGTCACTACTTTCATATCCCTAGACAATTATTGCCAGCATTGTCACATAGCACAACCCAGACATGCCATCTCCAGCCCAGTCTAGGGGTTTCAAGTTCTGGCAAGGCAAAGGTATTTGTAGTTCTTGCAGTTCATTGACGAAGGAGCAAGTAAATCTTCCAGTCACAACATTCATCTTGTACAGTTCTGATGTAAAAACACCCAAGACACAGAACACATTTTCTTCTTTACTCAGTAAACAAAATGGCTTTGAATGCAGATTGACAGCATTCAAATTGCATACTTTAAAACAGAGATTTTCAGGAGAATTGAAAGACACAGCCTTGTTCAGATATTCCTAATTCCAAAATAAGAATTGACTATTGCATTTTAATGAATAGCTGCGTGAAACAGGAATAAAAATAAACTAATAATCTTGCCAGAAAGGATGGAGTGGAGTACACTAAAACAGATGTCCTGGATAATTGGGACAGCAAACTAATACACAGTAAAGAATCCACTGAGAATTGCTCAGAAACACATTACCACCTCCCAAAGCTAATGATACCATCTTCTGGAAGAGTACTGAACTGGTACACTTGATTCCCTTAATACAGACTAATTAGTTACTGTTCACAGTGGAGAACTACTCGGCTGATTCAGAGTAGCTTAAAACTCCCAATGTGAATGATTTCTCAAACCCTTCAGAAAAAAATGTTTAACCTTGATCAACCAATCTGCATCTAAATCTTGACAAGTGCCAGTTCCAAGCATTTGACAACTTTTGACACTGTAGTTTCAACAGAAATGAAGTTAACTCAAATCCAGAGTCTCCTGTCCAACTGATAAAACTGGAACCAGTGCATAGAAAGAAGCCAATAAACAAGTTACTATGGCAACAGTAATCGAGAAGTTTAAAGAAGAAAAACATGCAAAAATAATTCCAAACAAACCTTCTTTCTAATGATAAGAAATATGGGCCTTTCAAAGAGTAGTGAACTGAAACAAATACAATTTGATCATTAATAATTGGGACAACTTTGTTTAAAATAAAAAGACAATGGATAATAGGAAAATGGAAATAACAATTTTCTAACCTGCCTTTATAATTTTTTTTACCTCCAATATAGATTTTAAACTTTGTACCCTTTTTAAAATAGTGGAAATGATGACCTATTCATTAACACTGTTGTTTCATAAATACGTTAATGTATTAGTTAAAATAAAAACAAGGGAACAAGATGGGCATCTTTCTTTATACATTTACTTTTTAGTCTTCATTTGCCTTTCAGGAATAAATGTACCTTTCCTACATCCTATACATAGAGAAAAATATTGCAAATGATTTCAATGTCGATTTATGTATTGAATTCTGGGGCATTTCGTGTTGTATGCATCTCTCTCTCTGTATGTATGGTGGTGGGTGGATTTTAACAATGTTCGTGATTCACCGTTGACCACAATATAATTTACCAGAAACAAGTCTTTTGAAATATTTTCCCTTCAAAGCAATTTGAAGGCCTGTGGTTCCAAGGGCTTTGCTAATGACTCACTGCTCAAAACAGAGGGAGGCAACACTTAGTTTCAATTCCCTTGTGGCGAATAACAATTCAATTTGTGAGTATTCCTTATGGCAATTTCATTCTGTGTTTGACATTCATTCTGTTACCTTTACATATTGGCTTTTCTCCCTCTTTTTAAGATGGTTTTGTAGGATTTAAAGCTGCAGAACTCTCTCTAGTCAACTGACCTTTATTTTATCTTTAAACCACCTCTGTATTGGCTAAAGTAGTGAACTTCAATCCCTCTGAGGCTGCAGTGCCTGGTCTGTCTGGTCATAAAATCACAACCAATATGCAACTGGGAAACCAGCAGGAATGCAATAAAAGATGGCTTTGAAACTGAACATCTGAACAGAATGATGTGAAAAGTAAGGGTCTTGCCTACAGTTACAGTGCCTTCTTTGTACTTTTATCTTGTGCCTGCCTTTGTTGACTTTTGTGAATTGAGGATGTGATAAGTTTTATTTATAAATGGTAATTACAAAGGTGTGACTTGAATGTTTTCAAAAAGAAAGTTCCTAGAAATAATAAGACTTCTTAGTTATTAGGAAATAGGTGTTGCGAAGTTGGATCAGTAGGCTAGTAGGACCAATAGTTAGCTCTTGCCAGGAACAGTTTTTATGTGGGGAAGCAAATGTAATCTGTAATTATTACAAGATTCATCCAATATTACCGTGTTACTGTTTAAGATACAAACAATAATTTTAGGTTGAAAGAAAGTCCCTCAATTTATAAGATACAGGAAATATGAACTAATTGCCCAGAATAAGAGCTGTTTAGAATTAGAAAGTAATGATAACTGATGTACTGAATAGACAATATTGGGTTAATGGTACCCACATTCAGGAATAATTTTATACTTTAGGGTGTGTCAGCTCAAGCACTGATGCATCTCAGTGCCTTCAGAAGTGAGAAGCAGCATGAAGCTCCAACAATACATATTCATGTTGACATTTAAGACAGGTCTGTTCTCTCACTGGGCTTTCGGTGAAACAACAGGCAGAAAGTCTATTTTGCAAACAAGCACACATACTGCACTATTTTTTGACATGGATCGAACCAGTTAAAATAAAGTTTTTAATAAAAGAAACAAAAAGCATTAGGGTCAGATAATAATAAATGTTTAAGATTATGATGAACTTGTGATGAACTATCAAGCAGAGGCCAGATATTCCTTTAGAGGTTTTCTTTAACATTTCTTATTATTAGAATAATTATGGAAGGCTGTATAATTTATACACCATGCTACAAACTGAGGCTGGGGGGAGGAGTGGGGGAGTCAGTACTTAAATAAAGGACTGGAAAAGTAGTTGAAGAGAAATAATATGGTGGAAATGCGACTTGTGCTCTGTGATGTGAGAACTATCAAATCGCTAAAAATGAAAGTCCAAACCGAATGCAAAAAAAGGAATTGCCATAGCAACCACAAACGTCTGAAGCCTCCCCCCGCCTCCCCACCTTTATTTTGGCACAATAGATCGGTTTGAAGCTATCACTATCATTGTTGTTGCCATCCACCAAGCACAATGTTTGATTAACATTTCATAGAACACTGCCTGGCTAAGATGAGTTGAAAGACATCAAAGTAAAAATTGCAACATTTCACAGCCAATTCAACGTGATAATTATCATATCAAATCTACTTATGAGCCAGTAGAATTTCAGGTGATAGTTAGACTGATTTCAGGTCTGAACACCCCCATGACTCTGACACAAGATCCTTTTCAAAATTGTTTAGCTGCCATTGGTAATTGGCACTTAGAGATGATTTTTTCCTGGGACAACATTTCTTTTTACGAATCCTGAGCCAGCATTTGAGCGCTGTTTAATAGGATACTGGCTGAGTTCTAAAGAAACTCAAACAGTTGGCAATTGACTCAGATAGGTTGCACCTTGGAAAGGAGTGGAAGTATGTGAGAATCTAGAGAATATTCTTTGAAGCTGCACAAACACTGTAGCTATACCTGGAGACAGAAGGATAACAAACATAATCTTGTTTGTCAAAAAAAGCAGTGAAACATGGGCGTAGACATTATGAATCTATTATTTTAACAGCTGCAGTGAGAAAACTGGTTGAAAGCAGCATGCAGGATGCTTTCAAAGCTCATCTACAGACCTAAGAAGCCATAATGAGTTATTAGCATGGATTTGGAAGGAATAGAGCCCGCCTGATAAATCTATTGGAATTCATTGAGTAGGTGAAGGCCATTCAGTGAATATGATTTGCTTACACTTTCAGAAAATATTTGATTAATCTTCTTTGAAAGAATGGAGCTTTACATTTGAATTAATGTCAAATTAGCTGGATAGATTGAAAATATTTTGCAATACAAAGAAAAAGGAGATGAAAGAGTGAAACAGCTCCATCCGGGGGCAGTGATGAGTGAAGTTCTTCTGAGCTCTATTCTGATTCCCTGCTGTTCACACTATTCATAAATAATATGGGGAGAATATGCTTTGAAATATTGAATAGAAGACTGATATAAGGAGGATCAACAGCTGTTGCTAGTGTCAGGGATATTAG